TATTATAAGAAGTTTTAAGTTATAATAAATACCTTATATAATTAAAACCTTTTAAGTTTATAACTATAAAGTATTAATATAATTATATAAAATAATAATATAATTAATATAGCTTATAAAGAAATAATAGAAAATAAAGATAATAAAGAAAATTAGTTTTATATTAAATAAAGCTATAAAAGATAACTAGTTAATTTATATATCTTATTTCCTAGCCTTAGGCTATATAATTTAAGTTATAAGATAACGCTATATCTTAAGATACTTAAGGTTATTACTTATCTATACTTATTATCGGTATAGATAAGATAAGCTCTCTTATCGAGGCAGTGCTCTGTGCGATAGTATCCAACCCCACCATTCCCTCCTTCAATGGCTTCGCGCCGGGCTTCGCCATCTCTCCCCCGTGTTGATAGCTGCCTAACCGCAGTGCGTTGGAAGCATTGTGAAGCGCGTAGACACTGGAGGAGCAAGCAGTGTTGACCACAATAGATGGCCCCTTGGGATTGAAAACATGGTTGCTCAGATAGTTTGTCCGCATGGTCAGCGCAACGGATGGTAGAGTCCGACCAGAGCAAAGCTGCGAGAATGTAATTCATTGCATGCGACTATTACCAACGACAAGAGCACCCAATAGTCACTGGTGCTGCAGAGACGGCATTGGAGTTACCGGTGCAGCATAAACAAGTATATGCGTTTTTGTCTTTGTCATGTCCTAAGCTTGTGTGTGGTAGGACAATTAAAGCACGATGCAGCAACTCTTCGAGGCACTACAATGGGATTACAACCAGCCTAAACCAGATGCTCTTTACCATTGTCTAACTAGAATGCTGTTTTGAAATTATTGGAGAGACTCAGCGCACGCGATAATGGTGCACAGCCTGATTAGGCTTCGTGACAGCGCGGACAATTGCGGCCGATCAAGTCCGCGTTGCAGCCATACCAGGCAAACAACCCCTCATCGAGTCCCAAAGGCAGAGGTCTAGAAATCTATTTACGCCCAATTCTTCATCCGTCACATTGCTTCCTCTTTATTTTATAATTTTATTTTTATTAAGAAATATAATTATTACAGTAGTTATAAAATTAGGCGTGGTTAGGCGTGGATGGGCCGACTGTCGGTACCTACCTACCTACATAGGTACCTATCCATAGTGTGTATCCGTACCAGCTCTGGAAACAGCGTCATCAGCGACCCTGCGTCACTGTGTGGGTGGCGCGCGCCTTGGCCTGCGCGCCTGGATTTTATTTGTAGCAACAAAACACACAATGCCCATCAAAGTAAACACTCGTGCAGTCACCAAGCCTCTGCACACCTTCAAACAACCGCGCATGTTGCCCTTGGAGTGATTATCCTTGCGCATGCATTGATATCCTTACATGATCAAAATCGCTGATCTTCTTTTATTTTTCCTCTGCTGAGCCTTCGCCCCCAAAAACACGCCACACCATGCTCGGATGGATGCTCAAGCGTGGCGACAACGCGTCGAACGCCGTTGATGACGCCGGTAAGGACAACGTCATATGCACTTGTTGTGTTGTTTTAGTACAACTTCTCAGGATTCTAATTAAGTCGCGGTGCAGACGATACTACGCAATTCGAGCAACCCGACACACCAGCCCCCGTGTTCGCCGCGCGAGCATTCAAAAGTGCCTTGTTTGGCACGCCCCGACGCCATGACATTCGAGCTGCACGGCCTGGAAGACGGATCGCGTCGAGTTCCTCGGCTGATAAGGACTCGAATACACCATCGAAACCTGCTGGAATTCTTCTGACACCTGGCACCGGGGCTGCGAGACGAAAGCATGTTTCTTTTGGACATGATGTGGCTGGCCAGAAAGCTGCCACGACCCAGCCAGAAAATCCAGCTGGCAAACAACGGGGAACCGTGACTTCAAAGAAAGCAAACGCTGTCGCTGTAGCTGACTCTCGACCTGACGATGAGGACGAATGGGAAGAGGACGATGATGGCGATCAAATGCCGACCGACATGACCGTCGATCTCAACGAGCCGCATTCGCAATCGGGAAAATACTGGAAGGAAGAGTTTGAAAAGTACCATGAGGATGCTCGGGTTGAGCTGGAGAAATTGCTCAAGTATAAGCAACTTGCAAAATCGTATGCGAAACAACGAGATGCCGAGACGATGCAGCTAGTTGAGCGTTTGCGCGACGAGCAACTCAAGGTGCTAAGAATGGAAAAAATGATTGCCGAGAACGAATCAAACATTGCCTCTGCGCGACAGGCAGACGATGGCGATGCGACAGTCGGACTCGTGAACAAATTGGCATCACAGACCACCTTGGCGACGCAATACCGAGAAAAGGTGCAAAAACTGGAAGGCGAACTGGAGCAAGCGTTGCATGACAGGGAGCAGAGGGCCGATGGGCAACGGCGGCGCCGACAGGGGAGCGCGTCGCCGGCCACTCACAAGGCCCTGACCGAGACGCAGCGCGAGTTGCGACAGGCGAAGAACCAGTTGCGAGAAATGGGCACGCTTCGCGACCAGGTTACTTCGCTCAAGGCCAAACTGGAAGCAGCTCGAGACAAGGCCATCAGTATACATGATGCACCGAGCGAAACTTCACGGACCAAGGAACTGCGCAGCCAGCTCCGAGCACTCAAGGAGGATTCTCTGAAGAAGGACCAGGAGCTGCTCGTCCTCAGATGCGAGTTTGATGCTTTCCGGGAGGAATCAGCAACCCACGACGCCGACACGCGTGCCGTTCTGGAGCGCGCGCACTCGAAGATTGCCGAGCTAAAGAAGGAAATCAAGACACTCCAATATACGCAAGCAAAGCAGCCTCGGCCTGTGAGCTGGGATGTAGCCGAGAATGCTGGCCCAGCTGGCTCGGGCGCCTTGAACGACGCAACTGTCCCCAACGAGCCTCGAGGCAGTTTGGATCCTAACCAGCGTCGCAAGTCCCAGCTTCCCTCCAAAGAGCGAAAATCACGCTCGCTCCGCGAAAAATTCCGCGAGGACGCGTCTCGGAGTCCTGAGCGCCTACCAGTGCGCGGCGCACACGAGGCCGACGACGGACGCCCGTGGCAGGCTTTTGTGCCACGATCCCCACGCAGCCTCGACTACCTCGGCGTGGATGTGGCCCGGCGGATAGAAAATGGCGGTGTGACACCAGCGGCGAGCAAAAAGAAGACTGAGCCGGCGCCTGCGCAGAAGCCAGCAGACACGAGGCGACGGCGGCTCAGCCAGTCGGACGACGAGGACGCGATTGACTTGCTGAGAAGCCGCTTCGCCAAGCTGGGCGGTCCGGAGGAGGGCGGGCAGGGGCACGCGAGCGTTACGATTCCCGGCAGGATTAAGCTCCCGCCGGAGCGCCGGGCGGCGGCGCTGGCGCGGATCGAGAAGCGCATGGCGGAGAAGAAGAAGGCGCGGGCGCGGGCTATGGACAAGGAGAACGTCCAGCCCATGCACTAGAGACGAACTTGGACAAGGGGGCTACGTGGTCGTACTTTTGGGTAGGCGTGTATTTTTAAAGCAAGGAGTTTCCGGGGCGTTTGTAGATTTGGATCAACCTAAGCAATGAATAGTCAGTCTATTAAGCATGTTTTTGCCAGTATACAATTAGACGCGTGGCGCCATAATGACGTGCAAACCATCCAAAAGCGTATTTACGGAGTGTCTAGGTCATGAGGAACTACTGCATCTCTGTGATGGACAAAACTGCCTTTGATGTCATTTTGCCCTAATTCGGTTATCGCACCTTGCTTGCCGCCCCCGGGACATGTCCGCAATGGGACGCCCGGGGCGACCGAGCCGATAAGCGATTTCGGCGAAGCGACAAAGCCCGCCCGCCCGCCCGCCCAACTTCTTCAAAAGGACCCCCCCTCCGCCCAACTTCACTCTTCTGCTGGCCCCCGTCATCCGCGCATGGGAACCAGCCGGGCTCATGGCGTCGCAAGAGGCAATCACCGACCCGGACGCGATCGAGGAGGAGATTGCGCAGCTCGAGGCGCAGCTGCAGGCTGCGCGGCGCCGTCTGCACGCCAAGCGACAATCGCCAGACGGCAGTACCACCCAGCTGCTGCCCGTCATCAGGATCCCTCCTCCCGTCTCTTGTACGTTGCCCGCTCAACCCCCCGCGATCTCCCCTCACGAGTTTTCCTCGCACGCGCTTTTGTTCCCTCCTTTTTATTTTATTGTTGTGGCAATATCTGACGCTTCCCAGCCGGCGGCACCTTTTCCACGCACTTTCTGCTGCTCCTCGCCGACTCGGCGCTGCCCGTCGGTTCGTTTGCCTTTTCCTCTGGTCTCGAGTCCTTTCTCGCGCACTCGCCGCAACGTCACGCGCCGTTTTCCTCGTTCCTGCCGCTCTCGCTGTCCTCGTTCTCGTCGACGACGCTGCCGTTTGTGCTCGCCGCGCATCGGACGCCCGCCGCCATCGCCAGCCTCGACGACCAGCTCGACGCCGCCATTGTGTGCACCGTCGGCCGCCGCGCCAGCACCGCCCAGGGCCGGGCGCTGCTCTCCATCTGGGAGCGCTCCTTTCGGCCCACCATGCCGGCTTCCGCCGCCGCCGCCGCCGCCGATGCGCACCTGTTCAAAGAGTTCTCCGCGCTCCTCCGGCAGAGCAGCGGTATGGAGGTGCCGCTCGTCTCGGGCCACTTTGCGCCGCTGTTTGGCGCCGTGTGCGCCGTCGTCGGCCTCAGCCTCCGCCAGACCGCGTACGTCTTTATGCTGAGCCACGTCAAGGCCCTCGTGTCGGCCGCGGTGCGCGCGAGCATGTTTGGCCCGTACCAGGCGCAAAAAGTGCTCGCCGGCGAGGGCGTCCAGGACATGATCAACAGGGTCATTGAGAGGGAGTGGGAGACGCCCGTGGACGAGGCCGGGCAGAGCGTGCCGGTCATGGACTTGTGGATTGGGCGGCACGAGTGCTTGTATTCACGCATATTTAACAGCTGAGGGGAGGAGGGGAGGACTTGATCGTGCATTATACCCGGAGTGTTGGATTGGGAACGCTACCTTTGTCGTGGTATCATTATTGGTTAAGATTCTATCTTCAAAGACAAAATTATCCTTTTCCCTAGTATATATGTAGCAATACACCCTTACAAAACGCCGTTATTCATCGTCCTCGCTGTCACTTCCATATGATACAAGCGGTCCCGCCGCCGCCGTCGTCTTTTGTTTTGACGGTACCGAGATCCTGGCTCGATTGAGCGCTGCCAGTGTACTCCCAGAAAAGATGCCCCCACTCTGCTCCTCCTGTTGTTGTGTCTGCTCCTGCCCCTGCGCCGCCTCGCCCTCCGCGAACACGTCGCCGCTCTCAATCATCCGTCGCTGCTGGTCCTCGAGCTCGAAGCCCTCGCGGCCGCGCGGGTTGACCGCGTGGGCGCCGCGCGCAAAGTGCACCTCGTCGGGGGCCTCGTAGCCCTCGAGGCCGTAGCTGCTCTCGAGCTTGCGGCGCTTGCGCGCCTCGGGGTCGCGGCCCTCAATCTCGGCGACGAACTCGTCCCCCAGCGCGGCACGGATGGCCTGGGCAGCTTGTTCTTCGATGCGCCGGGCCTCGCGGGCCTGGGCCATGGGGTTCGGGTCGGCCGTCGCCCAGCGCACGTTGAGGATCTCGTCGTGGTCGAGGGACTGGTGCGCCATGGATTCCTTGGCGAATTGCGCATTGGCCTCGTTGACATATGTGACGAAAGCGACACCGCGCTGGTTTAATACGCGAGCTGGAACGTCTTGGTTAGCCTCTTCCTCGGTTCAGCTACGCAAGGTCAGGTTCTGTATACGTACTGCGCTCGACCTCGCCCCATTCCGCAAAATGGCGGGCGACAATCTCTTCGATATCATCCGTCACGTGTATGCGACCAATATACACTGTTCTGTTGATACGCATGAAGCTTCCCACGCCGCCCATATCATCGCGGTAGTCGGAAAACTTGTCGCGGCCGAAGCAGTCGATGTTTGGTCCGAAAATATCATACGCGCCCGGCAGGCGGTGCAGGTACTCGCAGTCGACGCCCTTGGCGCAGACGCCGCGCGCGAAGCTGACGCAAAAGAAGCTGCCCGGCTGGTTGTCGGCCTTGGTGTAGCCAGCGTCGGTGGCAATGTTGCAGCGGCCTTTGGCCTTTGTCTGGGCGTTGCCGTCGTGGTCGCCGCCGGACCACTTGTTGTACCAAATGTTGAAGATGGTGCCCGTCTGGGGCGGCGGCTCCGAGGTGATGAGCGAGGGGTCGATTTGGACACGCGCGGGCTTGCGCTTCTTTCGGATGACTTTCTTGACCATCTTCTTGGGTGCGGTGGTGGCGGCGACGACGGCGGCGGTGGTGGTGTCTTGGGGCGCGTCGGCGGCGGCGACCACGGCCAATTGTGTCTCTTGGTCGGCCATGGCGGGCACCGTTCTCGAGCGTCAATGTCGGGAGCGCTGTTGGTGTGGCGAGGGAAGAGTGCAGTGTTGAGGAAATGTTGGACACTGGGGATGGAAAAGTTCTGGTGAGTCTAGATTCGACCCACTGCAGCAAGCGCGCTAAGACTGCCCCTAATTACAGCGCGACTTGGTGCACTGGAGAGCGCTGGATCTTGCCTTGTCTGGACACTACTAGGTAGATTTACTTTCGCAATTGTCTTTAACCGCAACTTATTTTTATTAAATAATTAACTAATTAGAGGCGATGCTATTTTGGAAATATGTGTAAAACGGGGATGCAATATTACATTACATCGACGCCAACTATCGTATCATCTACCTAGGTCTGTCTGGGCCAAACTATCATGACCTCTTATTGACGGCCGACCCGCCTGCTCGTATATCTGATATCCGGACCAAACTGTTCATTGATGAATACATTTTGCATGTGCGGTATCTCAAGTAAAGTTATCGCACACCTATATACAATCATTCACACTTGGTTACCTAGGTGTCCCTGCCTCACCCGTCTCGCCAAATAGCAAAACTCGTCTCTTACTTAATACCTAGTAGTTCCCGTTTGCCTCGCTCTCCGTTGTGAGCCAGAGAATTGATTATAGCCTTTGCCCCAATCCAAAGGGCTTGCTCTTCAGTCGGTAGCTTGGATGATGCTTGCCGAGAAAGCCATGGATCATATGCCATTGAATAGAACGAAAAGGACAGAGTTTTAATTCTACCACATGGTGGATAAACATAAGTAGGTAGTTTGTCGTCGCGTGAGTTGGTTCCAGCGTCGATTTTAGGCAGCCATGCCCCCTACCCTACATTCACGCTTCCCCCCTGCACTAACCGCACAACACAACTTGCCCAGCGACACTATATTATTGCATTCGGCACATACATCAAGCGCCATCAACAAACATGGTCACCACCAGGCGTACAGTCGTGTGTTCAGCCGCTCGGAGCTTTGCAGGCATCTCGGAGCTGCTATGGATGGTCGGAGAGTTGCTGGTGAGTCCAATTGCTCGCGTGTCGTGTCACGCCCGTCGTCTCATGCCCCCTTTTTAACCATCAATCAAGGTCGGAGATCAATCCTCGCTGGCCAAGCTATGTCTTGTGAGCCGCGGCTTCTATCAAGTCTTCTGGTCGCTACTTTACCGCGTTGTGCTGTTACGGGAAAGGCCCTCACGATTTGCGACTGACGGCGACTCGGCCTCTGCCCTAGCCATGTTCAAAAGGTTTGCCAACACCAAAGAACTCCACATACAATTCTCACGGAAACGATTGGGCCGTTCTACTCGTATGCCAGTCTTTCATGACTTTGTTGCTAGCCTTCTGCAGCACATGAACAACGTAGAGGTCATCAGGCAAGTAGCACACGTCAGGCTCGGTGCATGGCTAACACGTTCCAGGCTCCACGGAGTAACCATAGCACACTCCTGCATCAATCATTTGGCCTCTAACCTCAATCTTAAAGATCTACATGTGGATTTTTTTGATTCACATCTACGGCAGAAACCCCCCCATCTTCCTCAATTCATGCCCTACAGACTCGAGACTTTGAATCCTACGAGCCCTTTCAATAGTCTACGGACACTAAGCTTTGAGGGCCTTGATTATCATGGAGCCGCTTTAATAAGTCGTTATCTTGCGTCAGTTTTCGCTCAAACTCCGAATTTAGAGCATCTGAGGCTCTCGGTCCTCACTCGGCGCTGCACCGACTTGCTGATGAATATTTGCAATGAGTATCGGACTCTTGGTGGCGGCCCTCTGCGACTCAAGAGTTTTTTTCTGGGCAGGTTCATGCACATGATAGCAGAGGACATGTTCAGCTGTCTCGTTGATGCCTCAATTCTCGAAAGAGCACAAATCGGGGCAGACTGTGAGTGCGGCAACCGCGCGGCGGCGGCGTCATTGAGCTTGTTCACGCCGACCAAGACGCCAAAAATGCAGCAACTGGAAATACATGAAGTGGATCGAGCAAGTTGGAGTCATGTTGTACGGGCCGTAGCAGGCATGAAGGCTTTGAAAGTTCGAAGGCTGAACGGCTTCGCAATCTCACTTTCCGACATAGCCCACTCCGCCAAAGTACAGATGCTGCAAGTTCCTTTTTGCAGATTCCATAGACGCGATGTTTCATGGTTCTTTCAAGATCTGGATACGTGTGACTTTCTGACGCACTTGAAGCTGACCGTGGAGGCTACCGTCTGCGGCCCAGAGAGCAACGGCGCCTGGTGTTGCTGCCTGCCTGGCGTTTGCGAAGCGCTGCCAAACCTCCCAAATCTTACGGCTTTCCATTTTGCTCCGCCTGGCGGCGCGCGATGGTCAAACTGCCACGGCAAGAAGGAGACGCGCAATGCCGCGGTCGCGTTGATGGAATCCTGCACCAAACTGGAATATATCGAGCTGTATGGGATAGCGTACGAAGCTAGGTGGCGGGAAGCGGACTCAGAGTCTCCAGAGAATACTTGGATGCTCTTGAGTGAAGCTGAGAAGCAGATTCGACAGCCAAAGTTCTTCGTTGAGGATTAGTTCCTGGCAAGGTCTGCGTCGGGTTGTGCGACTGTTTGGGAGTGGTGAGATGCGTTTGGTTCTGGCTGGTCGTGGCCTTGTCAAGGGAACCCTGAGAGGTGAGGGCCTTGTTTGGCGCAGGGAGAGCTCACAGTCCAGATTATGAGATCTTCTTATAAGTTCAACTGTCTCAATATGTCGAAAGAGGCAAGTCCTACTACCATAGACGGCCAACCATGTGAGGGTGTAGTGATGATGTATTGTTGATCCTCTCTAGGCCAGCGAGAAGGGTACCTCCATGGTACCTTACAAACCGGTGCTCCATGATGCTGTTGGTTCTCGTCGGTATCCCGTCCATATGGTCGCCAAACCACGATAATAAGCATCAGTTGTTTACCCCAGGCATTCATGTGCCTCATCGAAACAACAACAGAGATTGCAAGTCGTTATTTACAGGGTTTGATATAGTCGGCGAAGATAATACGCAGCAGACAAAGGGAACTTTAGGTCCATAGATGAGCATTCTCTTGGATGCATTGGGCAAGGCTAATTCTTTACACTAATTAAATATACACGGGTCGCGGCTCTTGAAAGTCGCCCTTTTCCCGGTCTTCCTCCTTGTCAAAAACGACAGGCCCAGCGCGTCGAGCAACTGGGCGTTCGACTTGCGTGCTGACCGGCACTTCTCCCGCCTTTTCCACCAGGGCCTTCCTTTGCTTCTGCGCAGCCCTCTTGGCCATGAAGACGAGGAACAACTCGGCCGAGCTCATGTACTGGCCGAGCGCAAACACAAACACGAGGCCCATACCGAGAGACACGGCTGCTTCAAACGACACAACGGAGCGGGTCACGCAGAGCGTGACGCTGCTCAGGTCAGCAAAGCCGGTGACGAGCGTGGGAAGAAGCAAGGCCAGTAGGATCTGGTTGCAGGCGTGCGACGCCCACGTCGCGATGTCCGGTTTAGAGGCCAGGGTCACGGGATCGCTGCGCGTGAACTCGACGGGTTTGGCGAAGAAGGAGAGAACAAGAGCGGCAATAGCAAAGATGAGTGTGAAGAGACCGAGAATCTAGATTCAAGTCAGTGTGAGTACAAGGTGGGGTAGGCGCGGGTACGGGAACTTACACCATGGGCTGTGCGGAAGTGACCCTTGGGTGCACCCGACAGGACGCCAAATATAAGAATCAGAATCAAAGACGGTGTCAACACAAACAGCCGAAGAATTCTGCTCGTCTTGGTCGTCCATTTGTTGACAGGGATTGGGATGCGAAAGCGTGCTGCCACATTCTGGAAACTAGCAAAGGTGAGAATGAGAGGCCAAATCACATAGAGGCCCAAAATGGCGCTTCCAACTGTTTGATAAAAGGTTAGCTCTGAAATGCATAAAACCCACCGCCTGGTGAATGACAAGCCAACTTACCGTGCAGTATCAGGAACGCTGCATATGTCAGGACCGGGAAGCCATTGATGCTCAGCGTCGCCGCGAGGCTCAATACGGACTTTCCCAGGTTCTCGGCCAGTTTGGTGCCATCAATAGCAAACGTGTTTCCTTGCGATTCCACCCGAATGATTCCCATTGGGATAAGTGACTTGAGAGTCTCGAGGGTGTTGCCGCTCGGGCTTCCAATCGACACGGTGCCACTCTTTTGAAGCCCCAAAACAACGAGGAAGAGACCGGCAATGCCGTCGCAGGTCAAGACATCGATGCCCTTCTGTCCGAGCGTGGAAATGGCCGATGCAGAGGCGAACTGGGTGAGGTTCAGTGGTGCTGTGACCTCGGTGTTTTCTTGTCGACGGCCCAGGACGGCGAGATCCCGCCGTTGCGGCGTGTTGGCGGCTGTGGCGTTGACATTGTTTACATTGACGCCGCGCGCAAGCAATTTTTGCACCGTCAAAACGCCCGACGTGCCCAATCCCTGGCCGAGCCCTATCGCCGCGCCATTTGTGGAATCGTCGAAGTCAATCTTTGTCTCCGGGACGGGCCCCGCGAGCGCGATCGTCTTGCCGCTGATGAGGGCGTTGATGCCACCGAGAGCCTGAACGCCGTCACCAGCACCAGTAAGAAGCCCCCTGGCCAGGCCGTTCGCCAGGCGGGGAACGTTGACGTTGGCCAAAAGGGATCCGGCGCCGCCGTCGGTGCCGGCGCCTCCCGACAGGGACTTGATAAGCTCGCCCGCCGTATTATTCGCCAGAAACTTGGACGTCAGCGCCTCAGCAAAGCTCTGTGTGAGAGCCTCGGCATCAATCTCGCCGTTGGCAGGCGCGGCCTGCTTCAGTACCGCCGGATCCGACGGGGGCTGCAGCCCAAGACCGACCGCGGCGCCGGTGCCCAGGCCCTTTCCGAGGCCAGAGGCCACCGGGGCTGCAAACTTGGCGACCAAGCCACCCGCGTTCTTGGCCAGCTCGCTGGTGAGTCCGCTGATGTTCAGCTGGCCGATCAGCGCGTCGCTTAGGCCAAACGCAAACGTGGCGGCGAGCTGCGGCACGTCCTTGAGAGAGGACGGTTTGGGAGGGGCCTCAACGGCCTTGGTACCCAGATTCAGGCCCTTGGCGAGGCCCAGGCCCAGGCCGGATCCGACGCCCGACACGGTGGCGCCGAGATCGACGGACGGCAGGGCCGAGGCGAGATTATTGGCCTGCGAGGCTAGGTCGATCTTGTCCGTAAAGGCGTTGCCGAGCCCAAAGGTGAACTTTTCCACCAGCCCCGCAACGTCAGTTATTGGGTCGGCCGCGGCGCGGATCGTGAGGTTGCTCGCCAGCCCGGCCAGTCCCAGCCCAGCAGACGCACCACCACCGAGGCCCCGGCCTGCACTCAGGACGACGGCCCCCACGTCCAGATCCGCCGGCAAGAGGTTCGACACGCTCAGGCCGCTCGTGTTGAGGGACTGCGTCAGGCTCTTGCTGACGCCAAAAGCCAGAGTACCCGCAATCTTCGGCAGGTCCGCCATCGACGGCGCCGCCGCCGACGGCGACGGCGTCCCGAAGCCGCTGGTATCATTCTGCGCCAGCTTGAGTCCCAGCGCCGCGCCGCTTCCGATGCCGTCACCCACGCTCAGCGCGGCCGACATGAAGTCAATCGGCGGTAGCATGGCCCCCAGATCCTGCGCGCTCACGTTGAGGCTCTCCGTCAGCGCGTTGCTCAGACCAAACGCAAACGTGTTCGCGATGCCCGGAATGTCCGAATTTGATTTCGGCGGCGGTGGCCCCGCGTCTGCCTTGGCGAGCTTGAGCCCCCGTGCCGCACCCTGGCCGATGCCCGCACCAGCACCGAGCGCGAGGCCGCCGATATCCAGGCCGCCCGCTGGCAGCAGCGACGCGAAGCCGCCGGTGAGGTTGAGGTTGGACGTGATGGCCTGCGTGGCGCCAAAGCCGAGGGCGCCGATGCTGTCCGTCAAGCCGGAGCCGTTGAGCGGCGGCGACACGTCACGCTTGGTCAGGCCGAGGCCCATGGTGGCGCCGTTGCCGACGCCGGTGCCGAGCGATGCCGCGATGCCAGCCAGCGGTGGCAGCTTCAGCAGGTTGCTGTCGACGACGGCCTTGAGCGCCGTCGCTGTCAACCCCATGGCGGCGCTCTGGATAATGGGGTTGAGGCCGGAGCTCGTCATGCCATTTTGCTGCGCGACCTGCTCGCCAGTCGACTTTGACTTTTGCGGCGTCGTCAGGTTGAGGGCTTGCGAGGCGCCCTCGCCAACGCCGACGCCGCCGAAGAAGCCGGCGCCGGCGAGGCCGCTGCCGGTGGCGGAGAGGAGCTTGTCAAAGACGCTGCCGACTGCTTTGGACATGGCGTCGCTGATGGCGCCGCCGGCTCCGTCGGCCGCGCCGTCTTTGCCGCCGCCCAAGAGTTTTCCGAGACCGTCGAGGAGCCCCCTCTTTCCCAGAAATGCTGGCGCATTGGTAGCTTGTTGCTCGGTTGCGTCTGGGTCCTGGTTAGCCAGAGCGATTGCTGACAAAAACCTGGCGACTATGCTCTGCTGTTCTTCGCCGTCCTTTCCGGTGCTCCGTGGAGCGGTACTTCTTTTGAGCTCAAGTCGGTGTGACTTATTGGTGTTGTCGTTGACGGTTTGAACATGGCTGTCCAAATCGTTGGAGAGCATTCTCAGCTCTGAAACACCATATCTCTTGGCCGCCTCCCGCGACGCATCGCTGAACATGCTGACCAGCGCCATATACGTCCTCCGTAGTTGAACATTGGCGACTTCAGGAAATTGGGCGAGCGATTCGATGCTGCTCAGGTCGTCCAACACATTATGTTTCGAGGTTTCCTTTGCAACTGTCGCTTGCACCGCGCCCAACAGCAAGCAGAGAGCGCACACGAGCAGGTGAGCTGCTCGGTGTAGCTTGAAATGAACCATGGTAGAAGCAAATTTGAAAAGAGCGAAAAGGCTGATGGTGCGTCGACCGGCGACGGGAGATGTGGTGTTGTAGCATCAAATCGTCCCCTTGCTGGTCATGGGAAACAAACAACCACGCAATCGAATCTCGCTGATACCTCAACGTTGGATGCTCTTGAAAATCGGGCGAGCACTTTCGGCGTGCAATCCCGTGCACGAAATTTTAATCCTTCTCATCGCGATCACGAGACGCATTGAAGCGCTGTCACGCCTCTATATGTATAGTGGTAATATTGAGCCGTTGTGATTAGTACGAGTTGCGCGGTGTTTGCAGCTTCCGCGATATTTTGAGCTGAAACAGTGGGTCCGCGTTTGGGAGTCGCGTTTCACCCCCAGTGCATCAATCATCAATCTATCTAATCACTAATACCAGTACTAACTTCCACAATTTGCCCCGACAACTCCCCAACCCCATTTTCCCGTCCGGGACAAGAACCTTATGCGCGAAAGTGAGCTGCATGAAGACCCTGTCAAACCAACCCCCTGAGCTGCCACCCCCGTAGTTATAGCCGATGATATGATACGATGTGATGCTGCCTGTTTGATAGCCTATGCCTCTCCGCTCAAATGGTCGCTTATCATGGCCGTTTCCACTACGGCTACATCACGTCAACAGTTAACGTCAACTTCCCGACTTGGCAGCATCCACACCTCGCAGTTTTACACTAAAACGGCCCCTCTTGAAACGATACCAACACACCATGAACGATATATAAAACGAGAATGGTCCGCCTAGTGAAGTGGAATGTCAGAGCAGCTCATATTCACCTGGCTGCAGTTTCAAGAAAGGATTCCTCGACGAGATCAGAATTTCCCCAGTCTTGATCGCTTCAATTCTCGTTCAACAAGCTGCAGAGCTAGAACGCCGGCCTCTTAGAGCATGCCCAGGGAGGAGTACCGTAGTTGAGTCGTTCTCATGCGTCAAATATCATATTTTCAATCCAACTTTGGAATGCCTCAAGTGTGTGGAAATCGTAGGCAAGACCCGCACTGCCTCGCATCGCCAGCCAAAACGTTTCCAGAGAGCCCAAGCGAGCGGTAGCACCTCGCGGCCTCGAATATTTGCTCCTACATGCCAAGCAACGAATTTCTCAGTATGGAATGACCGTCTGTATAGCTGTCAGTGCAACTCCAGGTTGCTGGAACTGGAACGATTTATCCAGGCAGGGTAATTTACATATTGAGTTGTAAATCATTCCATCTAGGACAGCTGCGGAAACGCTGCGTGGCTTGTTCCGCCATGGTTTGAGGAGTACAGGCCGGAAAATTGAACTGTGGCTATGTTGCAGGAGTGAAAGCCCCCGTGACGGCACGCGCTTTCGACTTGTATCACTCAGATGCACCTACGGAGATGGTGCGGCGTGGTATCATCGGCATGGCATCATCTGATATCCGATCAGTACTACAGCATCACTTTCCTTCGTTTGAGCGAAAACCAACATGGCTCCACGACACTTGGCATAAGAAGCACAGAGACATCTACATCACGCGGTGCCTCGCAACAGTGAATCGCTAAGCCACAACTCCAAAATACGGTGAAAATGGGTAACATTCAGCACTAACAAAGTAATATAGGTAATGTTCCAAATGTCTCGCCCCTTACTCACGGGCTGACAGGCTGGGACGAGATATAACAGCTCTCATTTGTAGCTGCATGAGCGCGGACCCGCCAACAGAGGCGCAATGTCGTGTCACAACCTGCAGGTGCTCTTCAAAGTGCTTTAACATATTAAAGGTTAATACATCATTTGTAAAGCCCGTTGAAGATACAGGTATCTTCATAACAGGGTCCAGATCCTCTAAATACCACCGGGCTTTGTGCTGCTCGCCAGAGACAATAACAAAGGCAGGAAGAAACTTCTCATGAATTATGTAAGTAGGCTAATATAGACATTAGATAACTAGTTACAACTAAGAGCAATTTTATATAGTAGAGTTAAAGAATAATATATATTAGAACTTATAGCTATTTTTACCTTATTCTTTCTTAACTAAGAGGAGAAATTCCTTTCTTCTTATACCTATTTTCTAGCCTAACTAATTAGCCTAATTATACTCCTTTAGTATATCTTTTTATTATCTAATTCTATTAGTAATTAAGATTAGTTTCTTTAAACCTAACTCCTTTATTTATATATTATTATTCCTTTCTAGCTTTCTATTATAAGTAGGTCTTTAGCTAATTATATATACTATAATCTTTATTTAAATTATAATATACCTTTTAAGTAAATTCTTTTTTCTTTTATCTATATTACTTTAAAGAAGTATTTTAAAATTTAATTAAGAATAGTATTTTTTAATAAATTAATCCTTTATAACTACTTTTATTAAATTAAAGAATATTTAAGTCCTTTATATATATAGTTCTTTTATCTTATTATAATTACTTTATTTTCTTTTTCTTTTTATATTTACTAACTTACCTATATTATTTTCTTTAATTATTTAAAAATAAAATAATAATAGCTTTAATAGTATATTACTTTCTAATAATATAATTTTATTATAATATATAAAGTAAAGTACTTTTAATAATTATATAAGAGTATTTAAATTACTTTTAATTCTTTAGAAGGCTAGTTTTTTTTTCTTTATTTATTATTTTTAATATACCTTATCTTTATTCTTTTTCTATTTATAAGGAAACCTTTAATCTTAATAATATTATTAACTTTAAATATACTATCTTTACTTTAAAGTATTTATAAGGTATTAATAACTTAAATCTAGTAAAGTAGTCTTAGCTTTTAACTCCTATAAAGGTTTAAAAGGTAAATAATATATTTATTATATTTAATTTTAAGAGTATATATTATTCTTTTTAATTATTTTATCTTTTACTAATTTTTAATCTTAATAATATAGACTTAAATAATATTATTATATTATCCCCTACCTTTTTAGGCTTAAATAATATTAATAACTATTCCCTTACCTTTAGTTTAGTTAAAAAGGATATTTAAGTATTCTTAAAAACCTAAAGAAAGTTTATAGCTATAACTTAAACTACTATATATACTCTTAATAGTCTTTATAAAGTCTTATATATAATATATATATATTCCCTTATAGGAAACCCTTAAAGTTATAAGTATTATTATATTATAACCTTAATTAATACTACTTCTTTTTATTATAGTAAGCTAATAAGTTATTACTTTAAATATTATATAAAAGGAACTTAATATTAAGCTATTAAGTTTATATTTTCTTTCTATTCTTTTATTCTTAATTATATTCTAATTAAGTCTTTTAAGAATCTTTTCTTTTTATATATTCTATCTTAACTTTTAACTATAAAAATCAACTTTCTAGATAATCTTAAGGCTATTAGTTTTTTAATTATTAATAAAATAAATTCCTTTACTTTTATATTATTAAAAATTATAAAAGAGCTTATAATTAAGGCTTTTCTTACTAAATAATACTAGACTTTAATAGGTTTTAAGGCTTATAAAAAGGAATAGAATTCTACCTAAACCTTTTTTAAGATAATAGTAACTATAAGTAAATATAAGTCTTTTAGCTTATTCTATAAATATAAAATTATATTTAATATTTATTTAATTAAATTAGAATAGTATAAAGCTATTATAGATTATTTAATAAAAAATCTTATTAATAAATAATAAGATTATTTTATATCTTTCTTATATTTTTTATCCCCCTTTTTTCTATTAGTATTTAAAGATATTATTATTAGGTTTTAGTCTAAATTAAACTCTTATTACTTTTAAACTTTATAATCCTAATTAAATCTTAAAAATAAATAAATAACTATAATAATAAATTCTTTATAAATCTATTTACTAGTATATCTTTTATTAGAAGATATAATACCTTAAATAATCTATATTAATATTCTTATTAAAGCTATAAATAATAAATATTAATATATTATAATTTAATATTAATTTTTTAATTTCTAGTTATAACTAGATAAATTATTTATTAATTATTATAAAAAATTTTATAGAGTAGTCTAAGAATAATATCTATTTCCTAGAAAAGATACTTAAGTATAACTATTTCTTTTATAGTATTTTAAAAAGCTAATAACTTAGCTTTTATAGTAGAAGTTATTATTATACTTTAATATAATACTTTCTAGGCTATAATTCCTTTAAAAAGGATTATAATAAATCCCTAACTAGATCTCCTTATATCTAAATTATTAGTATATAAGGTATTACTTACTATTTATAAAATAATTACTTCTTTATTCTTACTATATATAATATAGTAATCTTTAGTATTAAGAAGATATTAAATAATATAAATAGCTATATTAAAATATATTTAAAATAGGTTTATTAAATAATAAAATAGTATTAATACTATAAATATAATATCTACTTTTATTATAATTAATATATATAGGATTAACTTAATAATCTCTTAATATCTTTTTACTTCTTTTAATATTACTTATCTTATTCTTTTAGTAAATTACTACTATAATAAAGGAGTTTAGACTTAATTAAGACTAGTTACTTTAAACTTAGTTATAATCTTCTTTATATATACTTTATAAAAGAGCTATACTATTTTCTTCTTTTAATTATAAATAATCTTAACTTCTAAGAACTATAATACCTTTCTTTAATTATATATTCTATATTTTTAAAGTAGCTTATAAGTAAATTTATTCCTTTCCTTTATAGCTTCTTTCTTATTTAGAATAATAATATTATTAATAAAGAAAATAATATATATTAACCTCTTTTTATTAAAAAAGAGGTATAATTCTTTTTTATATTATATAAGCCCTAGCTTTATTAATATACTAATAAATTCTAAATACTAGAGAAGTAGTAAGTCTTATAACTTATAAAGTACTTAATTTAGTAGGATATTATAATCTACTTCTTTAAAATCTACTAGTAAATTTATTATTTCTTAGAATCCTAATAGTAGCCTATATAGGACTTTATTTAATAAGTCCTATCTACTAGTAT